TTGAGATTATAATTTTATAAAGTTAAAATATTATATATAGTATTTTCAATATTCAAGCATTCCAGTGAAAGAAAATGTGATTCAAGAGAAAGAGATCATAATAATCAATATTTATTCTCTCAATGCTTATTAAATAGTTCATGTAAATTTCACCATGGTGACTGGTGGATAAAGGTGAGCCCAAGAGATATCATTCTGCTTTATGACCTGCTCTGTGGGATGACTGCTAATCACACAAATAAATGCCTTGTTGCACAGCATAACTATAAACAGAAGGTAGATTGGCCCAGTTGGGGAGTCGTGGACAGGAAAATGAGGTGATAGTCAACCTGTAATACACAGAAAGTAGGACCTTAAATGCAGGTGGGAGGAAGGGAGAGTATCAGGCAGAGTCAGGAGCATTCCAAGACCTTTCACCAATTGGAAGAAGGTCCATGGGGCTAAAACACAGAGCGCACAGCAGTGTGGAGACCAGAAACTCTGAGATCTCTGTAGATTGTGTTATGTGATAAAATTACTATAGAACTCGATTTGCATGTTCAGTGATCACTGTTTGATGATGTGGCAGGCTTGAAGGACGGTCAAGTGAAATTAGAGTGGTGGACCCATTTTCAGAATGGGTCTTCTCACATCATTTAAGGTAATCAAAGAAAACCTCCATAAACAGTCCTACAAGATAAAACTTCATTGTGGCTCCCTTTCTAGGTGACTTTTAACATATATGAAGGCTGAGTTTTGTCAAAGGACTTTTCTGAATCTATTAAAATGACCATGTGATTTTTGTCTTTTGTGATTTTTGTCTTTTGTGATTTTTGTCTTTGAGTCCATTTGTATGATTTATAACATTTATTGATTTCCATGAATTGAACCATCCCTGCATCTCTTGAATAGAGTCTACTTGATCACGGTGGATGATCTTTTTGATATGTATCTGTATGAAGTTTACAAGTGTTTTGTTGATAATTTTTTATTTGTCTTCATTAAGGATATGTGTCTATAGTTTTCTTTTTAATTGTGTCTTTACATGGTTTGGGTATTAAAGTAATGATGACTTCATAGAAGGAGCTTGGGAGGTCTCCCTCTTTTTATATCTTTTTAAATAATTTAAATAGTATTGGATATAGATCTTCTTTAAATACCTGGTAGAATTCTGCTGTGAATCTCTCTGGTCTGGGATTTTTAAGTCAGGTCTATTTAAGCTGTTTTAAGTCAGGTCTATTTAAGTTGTTAAATTCTTCTTGGTTTAGCTTTGTGGTGCCCATGATTTGGGATATACATCCATTTTTTAGGTTTTCAAATTTAATAAAGTATAGGTTTTTAAAGAAAAGCCTTATAATGTTCTGGATCTTTTTGATGTCTGTTGTGATGTTTCAACTTCTATCCCTGATTTTGTTAATTTGGATTTGCTCTTTCTTTTGGTTAACTGGGCTAAGGGTCTGTCTAGTTCTTAGATTCATTGATTCCTTGTATTGTTTTTTTTGTGACTCTAAGTTTTATCAACTTGACAAAAGTAAATATAATAGAAGGTGAGTACAATGGAAGGTATTTCAAGGTGAGAATCTAGAGAAGGTGTGTTGATGGCAAGTGGAAGGCAGGAGGAAATGGACCTTGATACACAGTAGAGAGAACTGACACTCCATAGATGGAAAGACCTTCAGTCCCTCAGCTACACTAGGAAGACAGGGAGTTGGGTGCATGGCTGTTTTAGGCAAATTGTTGAATCTGCTTTTGGCTGAGAGAATGTATTTTCTCTGTGAAGTAAATTACTGTCTGATGAATATGAGGGGTAAAAGAGGAGGCTGCTGAGAACCGTGAAGTGGGAGATAAACGGCAGAGGAGAAATAGTTTAAGGTGAGTGGAGTAAATGTGACATGAATGAAGCAACTTAAGTGAGAGAACAGGAGAGGAAAATAATGGGAAAAATGTCTTGGAATTGATAACTATCAGTGAGCCTCAGTTTACCTAGAAGATTTCTCATATCTAGACTAACAGGACTATTTGGTCGCTCAGGTTAGAAGGTCCATTTTGTCTTTCTGATCAAGAACTAATTATATGCCTACTCAGGTCTTATTGTTATCATTAAATAGGAAAAATACACACATTTATAATAAAACCTTTTTAACGAAGGAAAGGAAGGACAAATTTCTTCAAAGGGGGACTGGAAAATATTTAATATTTGGTAATTTCTCTGGTCATTATAATTTAGTATTTCCATTATATTTTTTGCTTCATTTTTATTTTATGCATATGAGTGTATTACTTGCATGTATGTAAGTACACTTGTGTCATGCAGTGCCCATGGAGGACAGAAGAGGGCATTGGATCCCCTGGAACTTGAGTTATGAACAGTTGTTAGCCACTATGTAGATGCTGGCATTCAAACCTGGGTTTTCCTGAAGAACAGCCAGTGTTCTTTAAATCCTGAGTCATCTCTCTAGACCCCCACTAATAACATTTTAATGAAAGCATTTGATTCCTACCATATTTCTGACATATTTTTAGCATAAATTTCTTAGATTAATTTATACTTGTTCACTTGGCTTGTAATTTTATTCTTGTTTTATCAAGTCATAGACCGAGAGATTTCTCTATTCATAGATGGAGAGAATATGCATTGAAATGTGATATTTTATAAATTTGGATTCATTTGGTAAAATACGTTTTTAATTTTTATGTTCTAAACATTTTCCATAAGTGTAGATTTAAGTTTTAACTTCATTAAAGAACCTCAGTCAAATTTTTGAAACAATAACAAGAAAAATACATCTTCAATTTGTTGATATTCTTTCAAAAAGAATATTATTGAACCCAAACGTGACCTATTCTTTTAAGAAGGTCATGTCCTGGGGCAGGAGAGATGGCTCAGTGGTTAAGAACACTGACTGCTCTTGCAGAGGACCCAGGTTCGATTCCCAGCACTCACATGGCAGCTACGAACCTTAACTCCAGTTCCAGGGGAATCCAAAGCCCTCTTCTGACCTCCGTGGCATTGCATAACACAGGTGTACTCACATACATGCAGGCAATACACTCATACACATAAAATAAAAAACAATAAAGTATTTTTAAAAATATTTTTTAAAATATTTATTAAAATAAAAGGTCATGCGCTGTGCTATTTCTTGCTCAGTTAAGAAACCCAGAGTCCAGCCATTGTTCCTTGGGACCAACTTTTGAAAGACTGTTATTTCTGAAAAGTTTTTACTGTCCAAGATACATTTAATTTTCCTACTTTGGGTGCTTTCTTCAGACAATTTATGCTTCTTTCCTGTGTGTATAACTTTTTGGTTCTGTTTGTGACATTCTACTACATAGTATTTTTTTTTATTTATATTTTATGTGTATGAATTCATTGCATGTTTGCATGTCAGTGCGTCCATATCATGAAGTGCCTGCAGAGGTTAGAAAAAGGCAGTGGATCCCCAAAACTGGAGTTACAGTTGTTAGCCACTATGTAGGTACTGGGAATTAAACCCAGATCCTCTATAAGAGCAACCTGTGTTCTTAAATGCTGAGCCCCACGGTATGTTTCTTAAAGATTTGGGCTGGGATTTAATGGTCTGTTTTTGCATTCAACACCATTGATACACTTCTCAGATCTTACACAAATTTATAGTATGTTGTAGTTTTAGTTTTCTTGTTTATAAAGTAGGTAACAGTCTCCAGTCCACAGTGGTTCAATTTTTCCGAGTTATTTGACATAAATCACTGTAAATTTCTGGGATAGAAAGGATCTGGGGGAAAGCAAGGGAGGAACTGAGGTGTAAAGATGGTTATATAGGATAATCAAGTTCCAGAGATCTGCTTCCTATAACTGACAGGTGAGGGACAAAAACATACTTTCCTACAAATACAGTCAAGAATCTTAACAGGTTGGCTTTGAACCCAAAGTCATTCCCCTTTATGAGTTATGGTTTCTTTAGCATTAACAAAAATAAAAGTAGTACTAACACCCTCAAAGAGTTGTCGCATGCTTTCTCTGTGGCCCACGGATATGCTCAGTCAGTGCTGTGTGTTGGACCTGTTGTTGAACCTATCACCATTATGTCACATGACTTTCATCTGTGCTGCTTTGACTTCGGAGGCAGAAAGTTTAATCCTCTGCTCTGGAAATGTATGCTACCAGAAAGATTTTGATTACTGATGCCAAACATACATTTCCATCTTAAGTCTTTGGCTATTTGATCTTTCACAACTGGCCAAATACGAATTATGAAAGCTGTTTTATATTTGAATGCAAAAAACACACAAGTAGCTCCTGCGTCTAACTTAGTTTATTCCAACATTCTGGAACTTTCTCTTTGGATAATGCAGATTGTCTGTGGAGTTAAAGCATGGTAGATTTTTTTTTTTTAATTCTAGTTTTTATTTATTATTTGAAGATCTATGTATACAATGTATCTCGATCATATTTATGTTTCTCTCTTTCCTCCAACATCCTCAGGCCCCTGATTTTATCCCCCCTACCAACTTCGTGTTCTCCTTTGTTATTTATTTATTTATTATTCATTTATTTACTTATATTTATTTATTCTTAACAGCTGTGTTCACTTAGTGCTTTCCATATGCTCATGGGTGTGGGGTCATTCATTGTGGCATGGAGAATCTACCAATAGCCACTCTCCTAAGTACAAAATAATCTCTCTCCCCCAGCAGCCATGAACTGTCATTTGCTCCTTAAGTAGGGGTGGGGCCTTGGGAGCCCCTCCCTCATCCAAGCTCTACTTTTAACTGTCTTGGATTTTCTGCAGGTTGTCTGTAGGTTACTACTGCTGCTGCGAGTTTATGTGTGCAACACACATGTTGTATCCAGAAGACATTTCATAATACTCTTCTCTATCCTCCAGTTCTTACATTTTTTTTTCTGTCCTCTCTTCTGAGTCTTGGGGATAGTGTGGATGGTATAGATTTCCCATCTATAACTGAGCATTCGTACTCAGTTATTTTCAGCACTTTGGTATAAATGTATGCATTCTACACTATCCACTATAATAAGAAGCTTCTTTGACCAAGGTTGGGAGCCATAGCAATCTATGGATAGAAACATAAATATTGAGAAGGTAGTTAACTGTTTGCCGACATAAGCGTTTAGCAAAGCAATGTGAATAGGTTCTGTCTCACGTCCTATGACTTCCCTAAACAGTGATTATGCAGGTTTCCCGTAGATTAGAGTTGAAGATTGACGATTTTGAGAGCTGATAGAGTGGATTCAATCCTAATGCAACGTTAATGTGTCTGACCTTCATTGGTGTGTGGGCCCAGAAGTCCTGTGAATTCTGGCTCCTGTGGGGAGGAGCCATCAATCAGCCTGGGGGTGGATTCCTCGTCCTCGTCCTCCTCCTGGTTCTCCCCTGGCAGTGGGGCGGGGGTCAGGAGCTCTCTGTTCCCAGAAAGCATCACTCTTTCAGTCTGAAAACAAACAGAATTTCATAGGCCCAAATCATCCTCTGAAGTACCACAAATTCGAAAAGTGCTCCTCTTTGCCACACGATGGCACTCCTGTTCTTGGGTTCACCTCAGCGTGCTAGCCAGCCCACTTGGGGCAGTACAGATGGTTCTAGCAAATACTGTTTACTTTCAACTAATTTTGTTTCTCAGATCTTAAAAATACTGGTTCCAATACCTTTGTGTTTTGGCTATTTTCTTTTAGCTGTATAAATGTCTTCATTCCATAGTTTTAAAACATTCTAGTGTATTGTTTTCTAATGATACATGGCTTTAAGAGAACACATTATTATTGTTAAAGATTCACATTAATCCAGAAATGTGCAAAGTAAAATTTAAACGTCCCCCTCACTCACCAGCTCACTTCATTCTACTCTTTCAAAGATGACTGATATTGATTAGCATTTTCTCCCTCTAGTTCTTCATTTGTGAAATTCAATCTTCTTTCTCTTGCCAACGGGATACAGTCCGTCTATAGCCTTTTACTAAAAAGTTCTTCCTCTTGAAATAAAATTTATAGTGGCATGAAAGTATATGATTTGCTAATGACAAGCCATTTCCTATATATTTTCCACATCGTTTTCTTTTGCGACAATGTCTCACTTGGTTGGGTTCAAGTTCTTTCTGAAAGCTTTGGCAATAGGAGACACTTTAAGGTGGTAAAGAACATTCAGATTTTTTTCACAATACTTCTGTAAAATTTTACCTGTTTTCCCCTTGCTTTAATCTTTTCTATTACAAATTATTGCTTCTACAAAACTTTGAATCACCGTCATTTTTAATTTCTTTCCTTTATCTCAATGTTTATTCCTTTACATTTCTTGCTACATGAATGATGAACTTGTAAGTTTAGGATGGGAATTTACTCAAGACAGCTGGAGTAGCAACACATAGGAACCAGTCCTTGTTACCCCTTACCCTCAGCATTTCACCAGTAATCCCACATCCTGACCACTGATGTGTGCTGCCTTCTACCTCTATTTATATCCATTAAAAAAAACAAAAACCATACAAATCACTTTCTAAGTTATTCATTGACAAACTTATGTGAAGAATTCTATTCTCATTTTTAAAGTAAGTTAGTAATTAGTGAGTATGTAATTATTTTCTGGTTGTTTAAGTTAACCATATAATTTTAAAGATAAGTGTGTTTTATAACGACACTTTTGATAGATTTGAATACATTGTATCAGTAAAAGAAAACAATCATTTTTAAGAAAGACTTTCTTAGGGTCTCTCTTATCTCTTTCTAGCCTGGATTCTTATTCAGCAATTTTATGCATACTCTATTTGCTAAATGGTAAAACTTAATATGTATTTTATCTTCGTGCCTCTAAGCAATAACATAACAATCAAACCACAAGTATGTATGGAGTAAATTCTGAAAAATACTTGTCTAAGATGTATTTAATTTCATGTCTATGCTTAACCCTAAAGGTTTTGCTGAGAAGACTTGAATGTATGGAAGCTTAGTTGAAAACCTTTAAATAATGAAATCTAGCTGACAGTAAATTGCAATAGTGTAGGGGCCATCCAGGAGGATGCTTTACAGCATGGCCAGGAATCTCCAGCTGAGATGCTGATGTGCATCTACAGAAAGACATAAGTTTTCCATCAGTGGGGTCATAGTGAGGCAGCTTCAGAGGAATGGCTTTGCAGAAACCATAGGGAGGCTCCAGGAAGAATGGAAATTGAGACAGATGTTTCATGAAATGGAGGCAACCTAAAGGGAGAACACATTCCAGACTCATTGCCTTGAATCTTTAACTTTGTAGGAAAATGTTTGCACATCTTTCTTTTTTCACATAATTGTTTTTCCAGTGGTTTGATGTGAAGCTGTAAAGTCTCATTTGTCATCCAACATAATGAGGCAAAACAGCTTTTGATGTTTATCAGACCCTCATTTTGTTCAGGCTTGCAAATAAAATTAGCAACTTTAAAACCAAGGGAAGGAAATGCCTTTTCATTTCAGCATGATTGTGAGACAATAAGCCTGCTCTACAGTGCCTGGAGAGTCTTCTGCATTGCAGACACATTTGTTCCTAGTATTAAGTGGAAGTTATTTGGGCTCCTATCTTTTTCTCTCTTTTAACAATCTTCATCACACTGTCATATGAATTTGAGAAGCAACGCATTAAGAAAAGATTGAAGCCAAGTAATAGTGACCACCTGTCTGTCAGAGGGGTAGATTTTAGGTTTATGTTGCAGAAAAATAAATGTGAACATAAATACAAAAAACCTGAATATCCCTACTCTTGTTTCTTAAGCTATAACTGGCAACACTCAAATGAAAGTATAAGGCTCAAGTCTTTTATATAAATGTTCATTGATCACTCCAGATTATTCTCCATTCTTTTTCCTATAGCCTCTTACTTTACTCTGACTTGCTTTCTGTGAATTGACTTTTTACCACGTGCATTATATTTCTCTGAGCTTAAGAAACAAACACCAACGTTGTTTCCACTGCATTGCAGATTTTCTGATCTTCACACCAGCAAGGTACATCTATTTTTTTTTAATGCTTATTGCTTTGCAGTAACACATGGGCCCTACTCTTTTGTTTACCTGACCTTAGAACTATAATTTTGTCATGACAGACTATATTTAGGAGTACAATCTGTGTCTATGAAAGAGTAGATACAAGAAATGACATAGCTTAGAGACAGTTACACAGATGAGGAAGAACAAAGCAGATGTCAGGCTGAGAGCTAACTGCAAGTCAGGAAGCCCTTTGTGCTGCTTAGTCTCAGTATCCCAGCACAGCTTGGACTCCAGGTAAACAGTTCAGCACTCAGTGCCCTCTTAGAGCAAAACAAATGATAGGATCCTAATGGCTTCAGAATAAGTTCCTAGCCCCTTGGAGAAAACGTCACAAGAAGAAACAATTTAATTATATTCCTTTTAACAGATAATACTGATAAAATGCAGAGATTTTTACTAGAAATGTCAATATTGATATTAACAATACAGCAAAAGATTCAAGATTTTCATTTCTGATCATTGGCAGAATTTTCTATACATAAAAATATCTTTTAAAAAATATGCTATGCCATTTTAAGTGATAATAATATTTGATTAAATAATTTTTATCAAATATATGGGTTCCTTGCAAACTCATATCTGACAGATACATCTAATTATGTTATCAATAAAACTATATTATCCATATGTCAGTTGAGGGCTATTTAGACTTTTTCATTAGCTATTGTGAAAACAGTAACAACAAACATCAATGCACAATTATCTCTTCAGTATAATGAGTCCTTTGGGTATATGCCAAGGAGTAGAATAACCTGATCATATAATAGATTTATTTTTTATTTGCATTAATTTTATTTTTATTTAATACATTTTAATCATATTTATACTGCCCCTATCTGTGCCCCTCATAGCCTGCCCATAGGATTTCATGCGTTCTGACATACACACACTGTACACACACACACACACACACACACACACACACTCACATATGACTATCTAGTCGAGTTTGTGATGTACCCAGTTGTCACTCAGTGTGAGTTCATCCACTGGAGCCTGTTCAGCCTATCTAGCATCACTCCCTTAATGATCAACTCTTCCTCACCCTACAGTGATCAGCTGCCAATAATTTCTTGACCAAGGTTAGGGCTTCCTGCCCATTTCCCCACTTCTATGATGTTTTTTATCTGAATGAGTTTGCATGTGTTTGTGCATGCTGCCACTATTATTGTAAGTTCATATGAGCAAGTTTATAGGAGCCTGTAAGACTCTGCTCCCTTATGGTCATGTACCACCCTTGGCTCTTAAAATCTTCCTGCTCCCTCTTTTGCAGTGGTCCCTGAGCCTGGCTGGGTAAGGTTTAATATAGGAGTCCTATGCAGGGACACACACTCTGCAGTCTCTCTTATTCTCTACACTTTAGCCAGTTCTGGACTTCTGTTCTCCCTATCCTCTGTTTTATGAGGAAACTTCTCTGATAAGTTTTGAGAGTTCCACTATGTTCCATGAGCATAAGGTATAGAGGTTCCATTGTTGATGTTTCACATAGTATTGGGTAGTTCACAGACACTTACTGTCTATGTATGACCAGGTGTGAAACTCTGTACTAGATACTATCTCTTGAATTTGTCAGTTGAGAGACACTGAGGTTGTTTCCATTTCTTAGCTATTGTGGAAAGAGCAGCAGTAAACATGGAAGTACAAGAATATCTACAGTAGGATGAGTCCTTTGGCTATATGCCAAGGAGTCATATAACTGAGTTATATGGTAGATCCAATTTTAGTTTTTTAAGAGTTCTCCACACTGGTGTCCAAAGTGGTTGCACGAGTTTGTAATCCCACCAGCAATGAAGGAGCATTCTCCTTCTCCCACATCCTCACCAGCATTTGGTATCATTTGTTCTGTTAATCTTAGCCAGTCTGATTGGAGTAAGATGAAAACGCAAAGTGGTTTTGACTTACATTTCCTTAATTACTAAAGTCATTGAACACTTTTAAAGGTGTTTTTTTAAGCTATTTTTATTTCTTCTTTTAAGAACTCTCTGTTAGATCCAGAACCCATCTTTTCATTGAGTCATTTGTTTTCTTGATACCTTGCTTTATGAATTCTTTGTATATTTTGGATATTAATCCTCTGTCAGATGTACAGCTTGTGAAGATTTTCTCTCATTCCGTGGCTCCCTCTTCACTTCCTTGGTTGTTTCTTTTGCTGTACAGAAACTTTGTAGTTTAATAAGGTCCCACTTGATGACGGTTGACCTTAATTCCTGAGCAACTGATGTCTGATTTAGAAAGTCCTTACCTGCACCTATATGCCTTTTTTTTTCTTCTAACAATTTCAAATTTTCAAGTTTTATATTGAGGTTTTGACCCATTTGGAGTTGACTTTTGTACAGGCTGATAGGTATGGGTCTAATTTCATTCTTTTACAGGTAGAGATCCATTCATGTTTGGATCTTCCTTTATGTTTTGTTAATCTACATGCCTGTTTTTGTGCCAATATCATGCTGCTTTATGACCACAGTCTTGCAATGTAATTTGAAATCTGATATGGTAATCCCCTCCTGGCATTGTTTTTTCTGTATGTTCAGGATTATTTTGGCTGTCCGGGGTCTTGTGTGATTCCATGTGAATTTTAAGATTTTTTTTTTTTCTAATTCTGTGAAGAATGTCCTTGAGATTTACACGGGCATTGCCTTGACTTTATAAGTTGCTTTTGGTAGGATGGTCATTTTCACAATATTAATTCTACCAATCCATGAACACAGGGCATCTTTCTATCTCATTATCTTTTCTTAAATTTCTATCTTCAAAGATTTAAAAATTTTACTGTAGATGTCTTTACTTTCTTTGGTTATGTTTATTCTTAGACTTTTTTGGGGGGGAGCTGTTGTGAATAGGAAGGTTTCCATGAACTCTTTATCTGCTCTCAACCTTGGTCAGTGCACAGAATTCAGTGTAGAGAAACATGACAGGTCAAAGAGTTAAGAAAAAGTGACTGAGTTCTCAGCCCTAAACGGGACATCTTTATTTTCGTTATCAATAGTTTTCAGCCCTTTCCAAGGCTCAGGGAACATCACAGAGGAGGAAAAGGATAGAACATAAGAGTTGAACCATTTCAGAAGAGGAGGCAGAAAGACTGTAAGAGCCAGGGCTGGTTCATGAACACAGGGAGGTAGAGGCCTCCAGGCCACTGGAGGCTTTTCATGTGAGCCTGTGGTAGCAGTGACATCAAGCATGGGACCCATGAAGGGCCCAAAGGGAGGTGAAAAATAGGTGGCAGGCCAGCACTAGTTTGAGAACTATTTGAGACTGATTGCTGCTGGGTGAGGGAGAGTATGATTTACATATGACTGCTGGATGGGCTGACTAGACTCTAGTGGATGCATTTATACTGAAGGACATTTACAAACACCTGAATGAATAGGATTCAGCATGTATGGCAGAGTGCATAAGGTTCAGTAGGGGGATGGAGAAGTCATGAATGGGGGAGGGGGTCTGGATTTGAGTGGGAAATGTATGAAATTTTAAAAACTAAATAAAAAAAGTGGAAAAAAAGTTGAAATTGGGGAGTACTGTGATATTCTGTCTTCTGGACATTACTTGACACTCATGAAATTACAGCAACTGGGGTTACCTGTGCAAGATCAAGGCAGCCAAAATTTTGTCATAGATGAAGGAAATACTCTTCAGGCCTCACTCATTACTGAGAAGCTATTTGGAATTCATAGCTGCTGGAGGGAGGGAGAATTATTCTTCTTTGAGGGACACTGTTAGGTTTTCCATGTGCCAGTGAATAGATAGTCCCATACATATATGTATATGATTAGCACTAATTAAATTATCCAACAAAAGAAGAAACATGAAGTTGGGAGGGGGGTGTGTTGGAAATTGTAGGGGGAAGGGGGTAGATATGTTCATATTTCATTATATACATATATGAAATTCTCAAAATTATAAAGATGCATATTAAAATAATTTGAAAAGAAAACATATGTGGTTCTGAGAAGTTGAGGCACATCAGATATGGATCCTGAGTCCCAAAGATCATGCTCTGATCTCAGCGTTCTGATTGTGGCTTAAACAGTGAGAGATTTTAAAGCTATTGATGTGACTCAGGGATGGGCAAATGGCTCAGTGGGTAGAATACTTTCTGCACAATTTGAGGAAACCTGAATTTGAATCCACAGAACCCACATACAAGCCATGTATTTGGAGCACCTGTGGTCCTGGGGCTCAACTGGGAGATGAGAGGCAGAGGGTAGAAAATCCCCAGAAACCCGTAGGCCAGCTGACCCTGCACAAGGTCTCTAGGAAAGCAGAAAGCTAGACCTGATGCCCAAGGTCATTCTCTCACTTCACTTTTGTGTACTTATGTTTGCACACATGAATGTATGTGTGTGTGTGGAGAGAGAGAGAGAGAGAGAGAGAGAGAGAGAGAGAGAGAAAAGAGAGGAGAAGAGAAGAGATAATTCAAGTCCTGGACCACTGAAATGCTGAGCAAAGTCATAATGAGAATTTGCTGGGGCAATAGGTTTTCACTACTCTCAAAGGCCAATATCAGTGCCAGTTAAAGAATGTGCTGAGTTTGGTTCTCAGCTAGAAGAAAAGAAGTATGAGTCATGAGACAACCCTCCAGGAGGCACACACTTTGAGTTTGATGGCAAGAGTTAACAGAAAAGGCAGTGGACACATGGCATCCATCCTGGAAAGTCCCCTTGGAAGAACATCTTTAATGCTATCCAAGAGTCTCTTACCGGACAAAACACACATTCAATGCTAAATCAAGTGCTATAAACACAGAGCTTGCAAGGGAAAATGGGAATTGAAGGCCAATGAATATGCAGAAAGTAAAACAAAATTCAGACAAGATTTGGTGCATGAGACTGCCCCTGCTGTGTGTTTACATTGTGTGTCAGAAAGCAGGAAGACATCAGATGCTGCTCTGAGAGAAGGGTGAGTGCATTGGCAGGGTGGGCTTCTTAGTAAGTTCATCAGAGTGACATAAAGTGCTGGGTAAATCCCTGGTCACTGGAAGCTTGACTAGTTTCTGATTTCATGATATGGATAGGACTCCAGTATCTTTTTCTGACCAGATCCCACATGACACTAATGGTCCCTGTGTACTGAACACATGTAAAGAGGAGATGTGCTGGGGCTGGAGAGATAGCTCAGGAGTCAAAAGCAGGAATTGTTTTAAGATTACTGATATATGGTGTCATAATTTAACTTCTGGTTGGAGAGTTCCCAAATCGTGCTTGAATGCACAGGTTGTGGGCCAGAGGCAATGGGTTTATGTTGGCTAACAGCTGTTTTAGGATAATCAAGACTTTTTTTTTCCATTTCTGATTTTCCTCAGTTTCATCATCACTTCCTGGGTTTCCAGCCATACTGTACACTGGTTTTTGGAACTTCTTAGCATTATGATAATATTTAAAGTATCATTATAACTCTTTCTTCTCTTTATGATGGTCACAGGAAACTTGCTGGTGACATGACACAATTTATATGCCAATGAAGGAATAATAATTCCAAGAGTTCTTTCAGACTGTAGTTACTGAAAGGATCTCAAAACTCAAGTATTATGAACCTATCTTGTTTAGATGAAGCGAACTAAGTCTGAAAAGGGAAATGTTGCAGTGTGTGCTCTTTGGGCTCAAGTGCTAATGAAAGAAATTAAAATTTTGTGTTCCAATCCTTTTGCATTAAAAAATTAGACTGTAATTTACAAACTGCATTGTAGCAACAAAATACCTGTGCTGCAACAAAATACCTAAGACTCAGTAATATCGAAAGAAAAAAAAAGATTTAAATAGTTCAAATTTTTGAGGTTGTAAGCAACTCCAAGATCAAGCAACCCCATGTACGACCTTTTGTGAGAACCTACTAGTGGATGGTGTCATGATGGGAACATGTACAGGAGGGGAAAGATCACATGGTGTGAGAAGGAGCCACAGAGACCAGAGAGAGACTTATCATCTTATAAAATTAGAACAATCTAAGGTCTCATGGAAATCCCATCAGTGCCTACAAAAGGAACAGGCCTCAAGGACCAAATTACTTCTCATTAGGACTCACCACTATTTTTTAACAATTATTTTTTATTTTGTGTATGTGTGTCTATATGTTTATATGCTACATGTGTGTGGGTTCCCAAGAATGACAGAGGAGGGCATCAGATCCCCTGGAGGTATAGTTACAGGCAGTTGTGAGCAGCCTGAGTTTAGTACTGGGAACCAAACTCAAAGCCTCTGGAGAAGAGCGAATACTCTTAACCACTGAGCTATCTCTACAGCCCTACGACTCACCTCTTAAAGATTCCATACAATTCTCAATACCTCTGCAAAGAAAGTCAGACTCCCAGCATATGCACTATTAGGGAACACATGCAAATTATAGCTGAAACATAGAAGGTCCTAGTCTGTAATAGGCATAGTAGGGTTGTTGGTGAAGTTATGTCATATTATATTCTAAAGTTGTATCAGAGTCTATTTATACAGCACTTGATTTAATTGCAGAATTTTCCACAGGCTCTCTTAGATAATGTATCCTGTTATAATTTTGGGTAAAACATAGAACTAAGAGTGTAATTTCAACTGGGTGTCATGGCTTATGCTTATTATCCTACAGCATTCCTGATTCTTACGACTGCCATGAGCTCAAGGCTAGCCCCAGCTCCATAGTGATTTCCAGACAAGCTTGGGCTACTGAGTGAGACTATCTTAACACCAGACCTCCCCAAAAGAATTTCAATTTCAGGTATAGAGCAGTCACTCAGATAGAGTCATTGATGTTCTCATTGATCTGTTTTCAGAGAGGGAGAGAGAGAGAGAGAGAGAGAGAGAGAGAGAGAGAGAGAGAGAATGTGCTGTGTCATTTGTGTGTGTGTGTTTGTGTGTGTGTGTGTGTGTGTTCGTTAGTGTGAATCTAAGTTTCATGTGCAAAGAGAATGAGCTTCATAAAACTCAGATATTGAAAGGGAAGCTATGTTGGATTTCATGGCTAAGTCAGTGACATTGAAAACATTGTCCTGGAAGTGGTGCATTCTCTATTCTCCAGAAGAAGAAAGAGTAGGCCAACTGGTTTGTGAGTAAGAGGATGAAGTAACCTCGGTGTTTCAACTTCTTTATTGGAAATAATGGTCTCTCTGTCAAGAGCTGATATTCTATTGTGTCATTTCCCGCCTTAAACCAGGGGTAGGCTCTGTTTTGACACCTATGGTTAGCAAGCACTGCTGTGACAGAAGGGGATAATAAGTATGTTCCTGGAGTTTAATTCAAGGAGTTCTTCATTGTTTCACAGTTAAGTCACATATTTCAAGTCATATTAAAAGGAATATTTTACATCCGTTTGTTTGGATAGCTGATGTTTGTCACAGCTAATAATGAAATTGGATCAGGCACAGGAAGAGCATGTTCAGGATTTCCTTAAAATTGAATACATTGCCCAGAGAAACTTCAGTACTGCATGTATCTATGGGTTGCAGCACAAGCAGTCTGTGTTTGGACATGCACCTTACTGCTCTTTTCCTATTGTGTTCCCATCTGTCATTTACCTTTCATCTTAATTTCTGTTTTTAAAATAATGTATTTATTACTTTTTTTTATGTGTATGAGCATATTTCCAGGGTGTATGTAAGTGCATCCACGTCATGCAGTGCCCACAGAGGTCACAAGAAGACATTAGCTCCCCTAGAACTGGAGTTATGGACATATTTAGCTGTTATGTGGGTCCTGGGAACCAAACCCAGGTCCACTGCAAAAGCATCCAGTGTTCTTAACCACTGAGCCATCTCTCCGGCCCCCTATACTTTTCTAAAGAATATTAATTTTCCATTTCATGATGAAACACATGATAAGTAATGTACAATAAAAGGAATTACATTATGGAAAAATAATACAGTATAATTAAAATTATTTGTATATTATTTTTATCTAAATATCGTATATAAAATTATCCTTTCTATCTTTATTTATTTGTGAACTAATCACAACATTTATTTATATAGGTGGCCACAGATACTGGGATGAAGATGTGGTGGATAAACACAAAGGTAGAATACTTTGCACCTTATATTAGCTATCAGATCTAAGTTGAATCATAAATTAATAGACATGATATATTAGCATATATATTTTGTAAGAGAACTCAAAAATTTTACATTGCAACATATAACTATAGATCTTGCATCTTTCCTATGTATTTTCATTACTTCTGTTGAATTTAAATTGTACAATTATGACTATATTTCTTTTTTATATTTTATTTATTATTTTCAATTTCTATGAGTGTATTGCCTGCATGTATATAAGTGCACCACACACTTACCATGCCCTCGGAGGTCAGAAGAGGATGTCAGATCCCATGAAATAGAGTTATAGATGGTTGTTTGCAGTCATGTGGGTGCTGGGAATGGAGATGGGTTTTCTGGAAGAGCAGCCAGTGCTCTTAGCTGCTGAACCATCTCTCCAGCCCCCAAGACTACTATTATGAAAGAGTTAAGAAACAGAGAGAGTCTTTGTCTAATTAATTCCCCGGAGATGAATCTAAGCACAGTAGAGGTTAGCACTCACTGCTTAATCACATCCCCTCCAGGAAGGCATCTTTCATTACAATGTGTAAGCTTCAGTGGCCTTTAACAATGAGCCTGTTTTAGTGCTGCCTATGGTTACTGAATGTTTTCTATGCCCCACACACTCTGTTAATAATTAAATAGTTAAAATGTTTATCTTACTCGGACTTCAAATGATATATAAGGAAGCTGAGACTGAAGGGAGGTTTGAGACTTGCCCAAGGTCACATTGTTGGTATGATAGATATGTGACCCATTTTTAGGGTATCTTACTCCAGAGCCTGTTATTGCACAAGGTAAAAAACTGTCTTCTAATGCAGAATTGGGTATATAATGAATAACATCAAAAGTCAGTAGTTTCTCCTGCCATCTTTATAGTGTGTGTATTTACTGTCTACAATCCCAGGCAAAGCCAGATTTAGAAGCAAAACCCCTCAACTGTTCCTCATTTAGTTTAGGATACCACTGTGCCTGTCAATCCCTAGTCAAACCTAGGTCTTCAGCAGATAATATTTATATTATAAATGGTGTTCCTTTCATTTTTAGAAAAAACATTTGATTCTAAATGTTATTTGGAGGTTTATTCAAACATAGACTAAGATTTATATTAATGATAATGAAACTCTGAATTTATTTGCCTCCCAAATTATTATTCACAGTTCAGCACATAAGTGTTGGCATTATTCTTCAATAATTATTGTGTTCACAGTTGTCTTCTATGGTGTTAAAAAGCAGAAGGGCTAGACCTAAAGGTTCTTCCAGTTCTTATTATCTATACACATGAGAAAGCTCTCCTCTTTTTGGGAGTCTTGCAGTCTTTGAAATTCAGTTTAACTAAAGCCAACACCAAGCTAAAAGGAGAATGTGAAAAGGCTGGAGAGATGGCTCAGCAGTTAAAGGCACTTGCTGCTCTCACAGAGGACCTAGGTTTGATTCCCAGGATCCACAAGACAGTTAACAACTGTCCCTAGCTCCAGTTCCCAAGGAACAGACACCCTCTGACCTCAGTGGTCACTGCACAACACAAGTCTCATAAATATTATGTAAAACAAGTGCTCTGATGTGATTGGCAAAGATCATTTGTACAGAAAAAACAAAGAAGCAAGAAACTGAAGAGAAAACGCATGGGTTGGAAGAAAATTTTCACCAGTGACACATCTGACAGAGGTTTAACATCCAGAATATATAAAAAACTCAAAAAAAAGAATCAAAAAACAAATGGCTCAATAAAAAGTGTTCAATATCGTTACTAATTAGAGAAATGGAAATTAAAACCATCTTAAGATTTCATCTTACCCCAGTGATATTGGCTAAGATCAAGAGAAGAAATGATATCAAATGCTGGCGAGGATGTGGAGAAAGGGGAAACGTTCATTCACTGCTAGTGGGATTGCAAACTTGTAAAATCCCTGTGGAAATCAGTATGGAGAACTCCTAAAACAAAAACTAACAATGAACTGACCATATGACCTGATTGTACCACTCCTTTGCATATTCCCAAAGTACTCATTCTATTGCAGGGATATTTGTACATCCATGTTTGTTGCTGCTCTTTTCACAATAGCTAAGAGATGGAAGCAACCTCAGTGTCCCTCAGCCGACGAGTGGATAACAAAAATGTGCTACATTTACACAATGGAGTTCTGCTCAGTGCTAAAGAAACATAAAATAATGAAATTTGAAGGTAAATGGATGGAACTAGAAACTGTTATACTAAGTGAAGTAACACAGACTCAGAAAAAAACAAATGATGTACATTCTCCCTCATTTGTGGACCCTAGCACCAAATCCTTGTATATGAGTATGTATCCTCATGTAACTGCAGGAACCAGGAAGATGGAAAGGAACCAAGAAAGTAAATGGTAAGAAAGAACCCAAGGGAGAAGAACAAAAGACAGGAGTTACTAAGGGAGAAATGTGTAAAATGGGGGTACTTAAATGGGGGAGAGAGGGATGGCTATATAAGGAACTATAAGGATAAAAGGGAAGAAGGAGATCAAGAGAAGTGGGACCATAGCAGACAGGAATTATCAATGGAGAAATGTGGAAAATGGGACTACTTTAAATGGGGAGGGCGTAGAGGATGGTTTGGACAGGAAGACAGGAGATATAAATAACATCTAGCTAGTATAAGGAACCAGAGGGAATCATATTCATCCAAAAACCTACTGAAAAATTACACATACAATATTTCTACATGAGTCCATGTGTATAGCTGAAGGCTACATAATAAGAAACAAAGGCAGAGAGGAGAAACATGAGTTGTTGACCAGGATAGTCCATGAGACTCCCAAAATTACACAGGCTATTGACACAACCCTTGATTGCCTCCAAACGGTTAAAGGTTAAGAACCTATTGCTGAGAACAGGACAATCTTTGGAAACAGGATTTGGAGCAATGGACCTGGAACTGACTTGGAAGCCACTTCCCCTGAAGGCTAGCTCTCGTAGTTTTGGAGGGCACTATGAAAACTGGTAAGGGAGAATATCAATCGATGGTCCAACCCCAGCTTTAAGGCCTAAAAACTACATCAATGACTGGCACAGCAAATGACATTGGTGCAGTAGTGGCATTTTTATCTTGGGATAATCGGGAGCTACCTAATTGGACTTAAAGCCCATTCAGAGGGAGGAAACTCATGTGTGGTACTCTAAACCTAACCAGATACACATAGCTGAAGAGGTCATAGATCTTAGAGAAAACCCCAAGGCTGTCACATCCTTTGGCAAATGTAATTTCTTATTATGTGCAAAATATGGATTCTTAAATTTACAGACAAATATCCCAGTCACTACCCATCAAAGAAGCTTCTTATTCAACAAACAGAGATTATTATAGAGTTACACCACCAGTCACATACAGAGATTCACTGTGAATTGCCCAAAGCCTAAGTGACACATCTACGATGAAACCTCTACACCTAAGGCTCATGGAACATAGCACCAGGGAAAAAGAGAACACTAATGCCTCTTGCAATTCTCATCAATGAGGCGCCCTCATGCAACAGGGGGCCAGGAACACAAAAAGGTTTTAAAAAAAAATGGCCAAAACACAGAATAAGAGTCTATAGCATTTGGGACCTTGGACTGGGCTCCTATATTAAAATTCATCTACCCAGGGCTCAGGGACCAATGTAGAAGAGGGAGCAGAAAGATTTTGAGAGCCATGGAGGAGGGACATGACCATATGGAAATAGAGTCCTATAGACTCCTGGGAACCTCCTCATATGAATCTTACAGCAATGGTATCAGCATGCACAAGACCCATGAAAACTCAAGTAGACAAATAACCCAGCACAAAAGTATGAAAAACAACAGCAGGCACCAATCTTAGAAGAAGAACAGCTAATTACTGCTGGGTGAGGAAAAGCTGATTTTCTTAAAGGGAAGGGCTTTATATAGGCTGAGTAGACCTAAGAGGATGAACTTGCACTGAGGGAAATCTGGGGACACTAACTTGACATGATAGGCCTTCACACAAATGACAGAATGCATGAATTCCTGGGGGGGGGGGCTATGGGACTGGAGACTCCTGGGGAAGGGAGTATAAAGATGATTAAGATGTTCTGTATGAAATACATGAAAAATCAATAAAAATATTTTTAGAAAACAACTAAAATAAACAAAAGCTGTTTTAAAATACAACTATTTAATGCCACACACATATCTACTTGGGTAGCAATATATATGGTACATGTTAAAATAGAACCAAGTAGATTCTGAGTACGCTGTTCTAGATTGTCAGATATTGCATTAGCAATCAACCTAGGATACTATTACTGCATAGAATTCTCAAATGTAAAAATGAGTTATAGGCCTTTTTTAAACCAAGAATATCATGAATAGAACATCAGAAATCCATGAAACCTGAGAATCTCTCCTTGGGTTTATTGAGTGATTTGAACTCATTGATTAAGTTATTGGGCTCAAAAATCTAGGCCTTACAAAAGAGTAGCTGACAATTGTTTTTTTTAGGAAATAAAGTACATTTAAATTTTTTGATTTGGTGAACCAATGAATTTATTGGAATTATTTATAGAAACGAGTTGTGTTAATTTTTTCTGTTTATGTTTAACATGTTTCTGTAAGCTAAATGACTTAACATCATTTTAAATTCATAGTTTCTTTGGATCAGATACCCACTGCTAGATGTGCTTCCGCTTTTCACAATGCCAAAGTGTGGTGAGGTCACAGAGAGCTCAGAGTTTCTGGTATGCACAAAACTGGAGTCCTACATGATGGCTTCCTGTCAGTCTCTATATTCAATGCCCATGGCGAGATCCAGTTTAAAAGCAAGTGAGAGATGGTGTCTTTTGCACTGAATCCCTCTTATACTCCAAAGTTTGTCCCTCAGATGAGTGCTGATTTAAAGGACTCGAGTTAGATCAGGTCTAGACCAGCTCCCTTCATAAGTTCTGCCATACAATAAAACCTAATCACAAAGGTGCTACAACAGCAAATCATTGCAATTTCCTCTGTCTTGCCTGTAAAAGACTCAGAACCAAACCACATTTATTACTCATGCCTCGGGTCTTCCAAAAAGAATGAACAGAATTCTTTGCTCTCTCCCTAACCCAAGTCAAAACAGATAATTCCTTGGTGATAGTCAACAAATGCCTTTAATCTATGAATTCTTTTTCTTTTTTTAGTGTATTATATGTCAGTCTGAACTAAGATATTTAATTTGGCAGAGAAAGGCAGATGCATACTAAGAAACTAAAACTACTGAAAACAAGGAATGGGAGAGAGATTGGGCATAGTCAGGGTAAGAGAGAAAGAGGAAAAGAGACTTGTAAAAATTACTTTGCTATAAAACTCTGATTTTTTTTCTGTCAGGCAGCATAAACAATGTTGAACACTTTCCCCATATTTCATACAATTTAAATATATAGTGTGGTCTCAATGCTTTATGGCTCTGGTTATCAAAAGTATTCGTTCTAAGAAGATTCATAGTTGAAAGACAGCCCCAAATTTGCTATGTGAATTTCCGCTTTATTTATTTATAGCTACTATTTTGACAGTATTTTACATTAGTCAAGATTCAAGGTCTGTTGTTTTCTGACTCATGAAAATTATCTTGTATCCTTTAGTTATGTGGAAATGTAAGAAGCCCAACATTTAATTAAGAACATGTCATATCAGATTTATGTAACAGGCTGTAACCTTGACAGAGACTCCATCTTGCTGGGGAGAAAAACAGCCATTGAGAAATACACATCCATTCCTTGCATGCAACAGAGTTCTGAATCATCATACTTTCTTTGCCTCTTCTTGTTTTTCTTTTCATTTACTTTAACCTCATATTTTTTCTTTATGCTTTCCTCGACATAAATGCATAGTGTTTTGACTCTTCCTTGCTGAATGCATTTTCTCTAAATGTGCCTGTTTTAACTAATAGAAAATGTTATATATTTTTCCAAATAATGAGATGGCTCAGTGGGTAAAGGTAGTTGGTGCCATGCCTGATTACTTGAATTTAATCTCTGGTACCCACATGGTGGAAGAAGAGAACTAACTATCTCAGGTTGTCCTCTGAAACCCACATAAGTTCCATGATGTATGTATACATACACATACATACAGATAAACAAATGTAAGAAAATAATCACAAAAAAATGTTATTGCATTTTTTCCCTTTTGACAAGATTTTAGTACAATGGAGTAAAGTATGAGAAAACAAAAGACTGTCTCAGCCTTCACCTAGAAAGGACTGTACATGTTCTAGACAAAAGGTTTATTAGAAATTGAGATAAAATCTCTTGTAAATGAGCAAAAATCTATCTCAAGAAGATGAACTCCAATCAACCCTTGTTCAGTGCTCTTAAAAGTCTCAAGCATGAGAAAACTCCATTACCTCTGCTTGGTCAATAGGTATGTTTTCATAGTTGTATAAAGTGTCCAGGTCTTCCACGGTGGCGTCATAGGCTTCTGAGTCGTAGTTAATGGGCTCTGGAGTCGGGACAGTCACAGCAGCATCAAAGATGACAAGTCCCAGAAAAATCCTTGCTAACGCTTTCATCTTTCCACCTTTCCTAATCATAAAATATAAATTGTATGAATTTTTAATTGATAATAGCTTAGGAACAGTTTGCGCTAAATAGAAATTGATCATTGTCAACATCAAGGAACTCTAGCTGGTACCTTTCTTCATGCAGGGATAATTGAGAAGCATAATATAAGCAAATTGATGACTTCAGAGGACAATGGAGACAGATGTTCAAATTAATACATACAATTTTTCATGTTTTCATAGTGGCACTGTCATGAAATAAGTTTCATGTTATAGACAGAAATGAAGAAACTAGGACATGACATGTTTATGACATATTTATTCACAAAATCCTCTTTATCATCTGAAAGTTTTACCACTTGATAAACATTAGAACCCTCATTACCTCTGAGAGGCAGAGTTGATAACAAGGAAGACAATGGACACAGAATGACTGTCAGGCCATTTTTTACATGAAGAAACTGAGACAGAATTTGCTGCTGACACTCATTTGCCATCCCTGTGTATTCAACCCTAAGACTTTTACCAAAACAAATGAATGAAGATCGCCCCTGCTATCTGGCCTTTGCTGCCTCTGGGTATCTAAATACATATATAAATTAATATGTATTTAAATTATTTCATATAGTATTTTTCAATCTTTTCTTGGGTGTAAAAGAAAATAGTTTTTAGTCTTCTGTATTTTTTTACATTTTTAATAATTTCTAAGCCTTAGACTTAGAATTTCTAATTCCTTAGACTCAAAGCAATAGGAATACATGTCAGAAAGATTATTTGACAAGACTCCCTCAGTGGAGTATTTTCACACACAATTGTTTAACTGTTAAGCAATTGTTCAATTGTTCTGTTTTCCATTATCAAACGTTAGGGGAGCTCAGTCAAAACCTTAGAATTTTAATTTTTTTAGCTCTGTATATACGGTTTTGACTACATTTTTGTTTAGGAACAAAAAAATTTCATGCTTAATTTAAATGTTTTAATGATATCATCAAAAATGTTACCTAGCAGTCTATTATACGCCACACAAAGTAGTATAAATTTTATTTTATCAAAAGTGTAATGTGAAAAGATTTTTACATTTTGGATGCTCTTCTTGAGTTCATTCTAATATCAGAACCTGTGGTGTTAGTCCCCCTGAATTCACATGAAAGGGAATTCATAATAAATATTACTTTTAAATTTAAATGACCTGGTATACAAACTGGCTTCAGTTACTTGAAAGACAGTCTTTATGAAGCAGGTTTAAGCAGAAGGATCTGAAATTCCCCTGAGAATAAAAAGTGGGACAAGGAGTTCCTTTCTACCCCATGTCTATGCTCTCTTAAATAAAATAAATTGTTCATACAGGATCAACTCAGCCTCTGTTTCACTTACCTTCAGAGAGAACTTCAGAGATTGCCACTTTGGAACAGTTCTAGGCAATTACAACCAACATCTCACTTAACAGAACAGCAAGGTACACAAACCCTCCATGCACCGTGCTTCCCCATTTGTGTGTGAAGGAACAATGAGGCCATAACTGAAAACACTGTTTCTCTTGTACATGACTGGCAACTTCCATTGTTCAAAGAAATGATATATTTGCTGATATTTTTTTCTCACTTCATACTCTTTGATTATAAATGTCTACATATTGGAATTTAGTTGCATTTGACATTTCCCCTAAAGCTATCAGAAACAAGAATGCAGTGTGAAATAAAAATGAAAAGAGCATCTTTGTGTGTTTAGGCAAAAGTATGTATCTTCCTTCAAGTAATTATATTTGTAAATAATATAGTTTCTTATTTGAATTTTCAAACTGTTGAAACTATGAAACTGTATGCTTAGTTAAAACTTTAAAAAAAATTAGCTTAAACTGACATTCCAAATACACAATACCATATTATCATTGGCATATTTTAAACACTTGAAATATCATAGTTTTCTCCTTTTGCATAATATTTCAATCAATATCAATCAATAGTGTCTGGCTCTACAGCCAGAAGCTGTGGTCTGTGTCAGGGCTCTTGATTTAAGGCATATATTGGAAACTACTATAATTTTATTGGCATCTGTTATGACTATTAAGATAAACTATTTTTCCCTATGCTATTAATTCCTGAGCTAATTCATAATTTTGGATTCTCCAAGAATAAATATACAGTCAACAGAAAAATTAAACCAAACTCACTGGATCAAGGTTCAGCAGGAGATATAAAAGCAAGCTGAAATATTTTTAAAAGGTTGTTATACTAGAGGAAAAAGTCTCCAACCCAGGAAGAAAACCAGTGTAAAAACTTACCTTTGGCTCTGACGTGCTGAAGTGGCACAAAATGACTGAGGACGTACAGGCAGTGGTATTTGCCCTGACCAATGGATATGAATTCTGGACTGTGGGAGGTGGAATTTATAACATTCAACTTTCTGTTTGGAAAAGCTAACCTGAAGAAATGCTACTCAGTCTTTCAAAACGTCACCTTATTTTATAGTCACACAAACTAAGCTGTATAACCCAAATTATGTAGTATGCAAAGCTCTTGAAATGAAGTTGGTTAAAGTTATGTTTGCCAATACATCACTTTTAAAATATGTAAGTGGAAAAGGTTGGTTCTAATATGTCTCACCTATAACAAATGTACCAATTATGAAAGAAAGGTAATGAATACAAGGACACCACAAATAAAGGGCTTTTAACTACATTTTCTGAAAAGAAAGAATTCCCCCACATTTTGCATGTCTTAAATTACTTTCTTCACTTTTCACTAATGTTAACTGAAATCTTACAAATGTTATAAAAGCCTTACCTGTTTAACTTTGCGTAAGGAAAGGTAGCCACATTATTCTGATTAGCTGGACTCCTTTGATAACAATGAACAATGAACCTTTTGCATGAAAATTTGAAACAAAAGGCCTTATTTCTAGAAATAATGCATAAATATGATCTAAGTGTTCTAAAAAGGTTCTTTTTCCTCTTTCATCTACTTGAGCCGATCAAATCAAATTACATTAGGAAAAAAGTCCCTAAAATACAAAATTTGTTTGAAGTTTTTCATGCCAGACCTGGTTTGTGAATCTGAGTTTTAGTATAGCAAGGTAGAAAAATATGTATTAATTTTGCACTATTTACTTTCAAACTATGATTGTCCAAGAAAAGGATGAAACTTGTAGCTTATATTCTCGTATATTTTACTTACTTCTAGAAGTCTGGTTCTTGAGCATCAAGAAACTTTCCTACATGATCAACATGAAATTATATTAGATTTTGAAATCAGGTTTGTTTCCAGTCAAACTTAAGAGGAATATAAAGGTCTGTTTTCAGCCCCCTCCCTCCCTCCTCTTTATACCTAATTCTCAAATTTCGCTACCTTCAAATTTCTTTGTACATCTATTCTCCTCAGAACTGAGTCATAATTCCCACCATCCAGGCCTGCTTCCATTTGATTTGCTTTTTGTGTGCATTCCTTTTGTTTGGAGCAATTTTATTTGGAATGGAAGCAGTGGTAATAGTTGTGGTATGAAATCTATTTGATTTATCAGAAAACTGAAATGCTATCTTGAAGTAGGAAATTCCTGATTCTTTATTTAGAGATGTTTAGAAGCACTGTGTGCAAAAGGCTTAAATCTGAGTTTCTATGCCAGCTCAGTTTAGCAACAAGGTGTGACACTGAATTAGACCATTCATTTGTTATTGTTAATTCTCTCAATAAACTCAGAAAGTGTTATTATCACTATTAATAGATGGGGAAATTAAGACTAAGATGTTGATTCAACATCACATATGACATAAGAAAAAGAAAACCTGGGGCTGGAGAGATGACTCAACAGTTCAGAATATTTGGTCCTCTAGAGGACCTAGGTTTGATTCCCAGCACCATATGGCAACTAAAAACCTTCTGTAACTGCTATTCTGGGGGATCCTACACCCTCTTCTGGCCTTTGTGGGCACTGTACACTTATAGTGCACTTATATATGTGCAGGCAAATGACTCATACACATAAAAACTAAAAATAATAAAAAATTTTTTAAAAGAAAAAGCATCTGAGTTGTGTCTGGATTCAGGCCCCTGGATGATACCAGACTAAGAGGGATATGTGAGATGAACAAGGGAATTTGTAGCTCTTATTTCCTTCTAACATATTTCAAGATCTATTTACTTATCAATAGTTTTGAAGGCCTCCTGGTACTTTAAAATAAAAATAGATTGACAGAATATCTCTGGAATACCGAACATTTCTTTTTCTTCTCTCATTATCTAATTTGGTTATCTGTACACAATGCCAAGAAATGGAAGGTTTAGATGCCAGGAAATGGAAGGCTTAGGTATACCTAGTCTTTCTGCAGGGCTTTGGCTGAAATTTTAGGACTATTTTGTGGAAACTGGTGTTTAAAAGATGTCTTCCTTCGGGTTCAGAACACTATCTATTAAAACAGTAGGAGCCCCATTTTCATCACAATTTAAAAGTCAAGATGGGCTGGGAATTGGCTGAGTTGGTAGACTGCTTGCCTAACATGAACAAAACCCATAATTCAATCCTCAGCCCCACATAATCCAGGCATGGTGGTACATGCTTGTAATCCCAGAACTCAGGTGGTCAGAAGTTAATCGTCCTTTGATACTTAGGAAGTCAGGCCAGGTTGAGATCCTTGAGCCTCTCTCTCAGAAAACAAACAGGCAAACAAACAGCCTAACTACTTGGCATAGTATAAGATTTAATAAAATATTATAATTCTTCAAATTTTTCTTCCTTCAAATTAATAAGACTTCCATTTCTCCTTTTCTCCTTATAGGATTGATAATTTCTTGAATGGCTTTCTTTCGTATTATTTGGACTTCCTGCATAGTTTCAAAATCTATTTGGAATTGTTAGTGCTCAAGTTTGTAACAATCCCCTGGTGACCTAAACACCACCAAGCAATGAGGAAAGATTAATTACTAGTTCCAGCCTGTCTTATCCTTAGTAAACATCTGTTGGCCACTTGACAGTTTGCTTAAAAGAGACAAATCATGGTTATCAGAAACCCTAAGGGATCAATTATTATGACAGTTTCCATTGTCTCATAAGTGAGGTTATGGAATCCTTTTCTGTTTCACAAAACTTTTTGAATATAATTTTTTACAGAATTAACATACTGATGGCTTCAAAAGCAGTAATGTTTTAAAGTCTTCTAATGACTGTTTTCTTTCTTTTCTTTTTAAAAAATATTTTTATTTTGTGTGTATGAGTATATTGCCTGCATGTGTGTAAGTTGACCCATGTCATGCAATGCCCAAAGAGTCAGAAGGCAGCATCACATTCCCCTGGAACTGGAGTTACAGACAGTTGTTAGCCAGGTTCTCTGTAAGAGCAGCCTGTGCGTTTAACCACTGAGTCGTCTCTTTAGCCCCTTCTTTATTTTCTGTAGCAATAGTGAGCCAAGAGCAGCAGTCATTCTGAAGGTGCTGTACTGTTACCTGCCCTTGGCACTGGCCCCTAAAGGCCACATCATTAAACAATACAGAGGAGAACACATCCTACCCACTGATAATAAGCAATAAAAACAATGCTTGCAATATCCAGCTGCCTTCTTTTAAAGAGTGAATCCCATATTATTGGAGTCTAGTCAGCCTATCTATAATCACTCCCTTAAAGAAGATCTACACTTCCTCATTCTATAGTATATCAGTTGCCAATAGTTTCTTGGCTAAGGTTGAGGCCTGCTGTCCATTTCCCCAGTTCTATGCTAGGATTGTGTCTGATCAAGTCAGCATAGTCTCATGCATTGTGTCACCACAGTTGCAAGTTCATATGAGCAAGTTCCCAGAGGGGTGAACCTCTGCTTTCTTATGTTCATGCACCAACCCTCACTATCAAAATGTTTCCACAACCTTTACTGCAATGGAGCCTGAGCCATGGATGGATAAGTTCTAATACAGGAGTCCTATCCAGGGACATGCACTCTGCAGTCTCTTATCCTCTAAAATTGGCCAGAAGTGACTTTATTTGCATCACTCTGTGTTGTATGAGAAAGATTCCCTGATAAAAGTCCAGGGATGTATTAGCATTTTCTCTACCCCCCGTTCCACTATGTTCAGTGAGACTTGGGTGTAGAGGTTCCACCATGTATGTGTCACTTAGGATTGGGTATCTCTCAGACATATAGTCTCTATATATGACCAACTATGGAGCAGTGTAATAGCCTCCATCTGTTGCAAAAAGAAACTTCTTTGATGAGGGGTGTATGGTATACTCATCTGTAAATATAAGGATCCATATTTAGCAGATAGTCAGAAATTTCATTTGTCTAGAGCTATTACAGAGATGAGGTTTTCTCTAGGATCTGTGAACTCTCTAGCCACGTGTACTTGGCTATATTTCCAGGGCCACCCATGAGTTTCTTCTCATTGAAAGTTCTTTACATCCAATTAGGTAGCTTTCGATTACCCCCCAGTTAAAAGTGCCACTACTACACCAATACAAATAGGTTGCTATGCCAGACATTGCGTGGTCATGAGGCTTTAGAGCTGGGATGGACCATTGATTGATTTTTCTCCCTTAGCAGCTTGAAGAGTATCCTATAGAACTATGAGAGCTAGGCTTCAGGGAGGAGGCTTTCAGGTTAGTACCAGCTCTGTTGCTCCAAATCCTGTATCTAAAGTGTGTCTTGTATTCAGTAGTAGGCCTTGCCTTCAAGTTCTCAGGAGTAATCAAGGGCTGTGGCAATAATATGTGTTATTTGGGGAGTCCCTTGAGCTAACCTGGCCAAAAATTTGAAGGGAGGTTTCTCCTATCTGGCTTTCAGGTATATACATGCACTCATGTTCAGATAGTTTATATGCATTTTTCAGTAGAATTTTTAGTTAATATATTTCCTTCCAGCTTTTCATACCTCCTAAGTTTATTAACCACTTCTCTCCCTAAGTTTAAGTATCCCCATTCTTGCCTTGATAATACTTGTTTTCTATTATCTCCCTCTCTTGAGTTCCTCCTTCAGCTTTAAGCCATGGTTCCTTGGTCCTTCCCTGCCTGGTTCCTTCCCAGTTGAATACCCCTATTTTCCATGTTTTCCTGTTGATGATATCTGTTTCCTATTACTCCCCTTTTAAGCTCTTTCTTTCCTTTTACCTTCCTGGTTTCTTTCCAGTTTTCTGATTCCTGATACTATATAAGGATATATATTCACATAATGATTGATGTTAAGATCCACAAATGAGCGAGAACTTATATTGCTTGTTTTTTGAATTCTGTGTTTGTATAACAGTTTCTAGTTCTATACTTTTACCTGCACATTTCATGATTTCATCTTTTCTTACAGCTGCACACACAGAGAAATATTGGTCTGAGAGATTCCCACATATAAGTGACATATCTACAGTGGAACCTCTATATCTAAGGCTCAGGGAACATAGAGGAACAGGGGGTGGAGAGAATACTAGTGCATTCCTCAACACTTACCAGACAAGCTTCGTTATACAAGAGTGTGATGCACACAGAAGGCCACAAATGGCTAAGTTTTAGAGAATAAGAGACTGCAGAGCTTATGTCCTTAAATAGAACTGCTATATTAAACCTCACACCCTACACAGCTCAGGGACCATTGAGGAAGAGGGTGTGGGAAGATTATAAGAGCCAGGATTGGTCAATGAACATAGGAAACAGGCTTTCAGGCCACTGGAAGCTTGCACACGTGAACATGTGACAATGGTGGCCTCAAGCACAAGACCTATTCTAACTCAATCAGATAAGCGCCTAGAGGGATGTGAGAGAAATGGGTGGTGAGCCAGCCCTAGCCTTAGAACTGTTGGAGAATGATTACTGCTGGATGAGGGAGAGTAGATATTCCTTAAGACCTCTAGATAAGGTGAATAGACTTCAGAGGGTGAACTTGCACCAAAGTTTATCTCTGTAAAATGTTTGACCAGATGGAACTTAACATGTATGGCAGAATACTTGTGGCCCAATGAGTGGCTGTGGGGACATGGATGGGCCAGGGGGCTTAACTTGATTAATAACTGTTATATGAAATGTACAAAAACTCAATAAAATATTTTAAAATAAATAAAAGAACTCCATTTTATTGATGTACCACATTTTCATTATCCATTCATCAGTTGTGGGACATTTTAGCTATGTCAATTTCTTAGGTATTGTGAAAAGAACAGTAACTAATATGAATGTACAAGTATCTCTACAGTAGGATAAGTCCTTTGGGTATATGCCAAAGAATGGTATAATCAGATCATATGGTAGATTCATTTTTAGTATGTTAAGAGTGCTCCACACTGTTTTCCATAGTGGTTGCATAAGTTTGCAATCCCACCAGCAGTAAATGAGCATTCCCCCTTCTCCACATCCTTGCCAACATTTGGTACCATTTATTTTATTTATCGCAGCCAGTATGACTGAGGTAAGGTGCAATCTTAAAATGGCTTTGATTTGCAATTTTCAATTACTAAGGCTGAAAAGTAACTTTCTATATCAATCATTAGTTGCTCAGACATTAAGGTCAACAGCCAAGAATTGGGACCTCATTAAACTGAAGAGCTCTGTATAGAAAAGAAACAACCAAGAAAGAGAAAAGGAAACCCACTGAGTGGGAGAAAGTCTTCACTAGCTATATAACCAACAGAGAATTTATATCCAGAGTATACAAAGAATTCAAAAAACAAGGAAACAAGAAAATAAATGACTCAATAAAAAGATGAGGTAAAGACCTGAACACAGATAAACATTATCATTAAAATCTACCTGATGACTTTATATCCATACTCAGGTGCCAAGGATCCGAGTGTAACCAACTGTGACTAGTAATAATCCGATGTATAGAGATTAAAGACACATGTGCATACATCTAAGTGTTAGTAGCATTAAAAATGTCGGAAACATTTATTTTATTTTTTAAAATAAAATTAATATTTTAAAATGAAATGGAGATCTTCTTTAAAGGTTAAAAACTCATTCAATTTTGTCTTACAGGCTTTATATTAAGTTCAATATTGTATAACTGTATTAATTCAACTGTGAACCCAAAATTTTACAGCCGCTTTTGAAAGAGATGTAGTTTTGCTCTGGAAATCATTACTGAATATGTTAAAGCTGTAATGAAATGCTAACAACAACAACAAAAAAGATGAGGTAAAGACCTGAACACAGAGTTCAAATGAAGAAAGAAAAACGACTAAGAAACACCTTAAAAGGTGTTCTTATTCTTTTCCTTGTTCTCATGGCACAAATTTCTGATTTATATTTAGGCCAAGGGACAGGCAGTTATTCTACATGAAACAATGAACTGAATGAAAGTCAACCAAAAAAGGTAGATGCACCAGCATTTTTTGTGTTTTTATCAAATTATTGTGTATTTCATACCAAACATCTCAAACATCTTAATCATTTTTTCACCCCTGAGCCCACAGGCACCTTTCAATAGCTCCTCCCGGCTGACTAGGACCCATATACTCTGTCATCCCTGATATGACCCACTGTGTCAAGTCAGTGACTCAGCCGTTCTCCAGTGCAGGTCCATCCACTGAAGCTCCTGGGAATCTGCTCATATGATTCTACGGCAATGGTGTCAGCATATACAAGTCCCATGCAAACTCAGACAGACAAGAACACAGCATAGAACTGGGAAAATGAACAGCAGACTCCAATCTTCTCTGAAGAAATATTGGCAGCTGATTGCTGCTAGGTGAAGACGAGCTGATGTTCCTAATACAAGGAACTCTAGATGCACCAGTGTTTTAAAGAGCACATACATAGCTCCAAACGCTTCAAACTACATTTAAAGATTTAGAATTTTTTTTAAAATGTGTCCACAGATACCATCAGCTTACAAATTCTTCACGTTTTGCTTCTTCGGTGCTCCCTTTAAGAAATCACAGCCTTTAAATTCCATATTTTCGTTAAACTTGGGTTTCTTTTAATTTTTTTATTCTTGGTGCTGTGAGGGCATGGCATGGTGTTCATGTGAAAGTCAGGGGACAATCTTCGGGGGTTGGTTCTTTCCCTCTACTCTGTGGATCCTCGATTTTAGCGGTCATCTTGGGGTTCCTGAAAACCGTATTTTCAGTCCACTACTCTCCCATATCTATGCCCCTTTATAGAGATAAACAATTCCCAAATGAAGTTTCCTCACTCACATTTCCCTTTGCTGTGCTCGCATTCAGTTTTTATTTTTTCTTAATGCCTCAGTTGCATAAGTTGGCTTTGATGTTTTTTTATTTTCCTCCTACAGTATCCTTCAGTTTCTTTGTTTGGCTTTTCCTTTTAAACCCAGCCTCAGAATTGTGGCGTATCTTGGGTTTTAGTCTTATAATTTCTCTTTTCATCTTTTCTCCTTGGGTAACCTCATCAGCTTCAGTGCCATAATTATAACAAAGACAATAATTTTAATGAGAGCTAACATTTTGAATAATTATTATAAGCTTGCCATGGACTGCTATCCCGAGTATAGACAAGGAAGCTAAGGTCTAGGGAAGTTAAAAGACTTCAACAGGAGGCAAAGCCCAATTCATAGCTAATGAGCTCTGACTGCAAAGTCAATTTCTTACCCACAACCTAAAACCATGACCTTCCACTTAATCTTCCAGTTTTACATCTGCACTTCCCACATATTCCAGTAAATACAGACTTTTGTACAGCACTATTTAGAACTTGGCATCTGCACGCTGTCTTAATCTATTCACTAGTAATATAAATGTTTACCACAGAAAAGAGTATTTGTAAAGCATAAACCTTTGTTCGGCTTACATTTTGAATGCCTGGCAAGTTCAAGTAGGGGCTACAAGTGAGGAACTTCTTGGTAGGGATGATAAAAAAGCCCTAAGGTAGTCAAAGGAACCACATAGCAAGACAGAAGTTTCTACCTGAAGTTCCTCTGTTCTCTGTAAAGTCAAGGTCCTATTTGATTTGAGTCCTACCTGTAAACAGTTCTCTTCCACTTTCAATAGATGCAACGTTTTATAGACTGTTGAAGCTTCAGCATTAATACCAACATAAAGAGGATTTCCTGACTTCTGCACAGGACAGTAAACCCCATTATTTCCTATCACATTTCCTGACTTCCGCATGACAGCAGATCCCATTCTTTCTTACCACATTCTATCTCAACACTTGCCTCTTTTGTTCTTGTATATGTTGATTTGACCCTCAGTTCTGGGTTTCCTGCCCCACTTTCCCAAGTGCTTAGACTAAAAAGAGTCTGCCACGAGGCCCTTTTAGTATTTTTGTTTGTTTGTTTTCTTTCCTGCACATTGTAGAGCCTGCCACCAGGTCCTTTTAGTATTTAGTTTGTTTGTTTTCTTTCCTGCACATTAGAGATTTTATATATTATGGGTGTATCCTGAATGAATATAAATTCTCCCACACATATTTTACTGGTTAGTTCATAGCTTTAGCTTCAGTGTCTAAGGCAGTCCTTGACTTCTTGCTCAGTGTTCTTTTCTTTTTGATGTGTGTGAATGTGTACTATGTACATATCAGGGGTGCAGGTTCATATGTATTTATGCATTTGGAGATCGGAGGTAGACATCCTGTGTCTTCCTTAATTGTTCACCTTATTTTTTGAGACAAGGCCTTTCACTGAATTTGAGAGCTCATCAATTAAACTAGGCACATCAGCCAATAAACTGTAGGCTAATTTACCTGTCGCCATCCCCCCAAAGCTGGAATTACAGACACTGCCAACACACCCAGGGATCTGGACAGGGGTCCTTAGTTTGAGTGGCAGGCACCACTAAGTCATTTAGCTTTAGCTCCCTTAATGTTCTTTGAATGGATCAATTAAATGATTGGATAAATTATTAAATAATTACTTAGTCATTGTCAAGGTTTGTTTTTTTTTCCTATTCTAATAAATATGGGGCTGCTTGTACCTAAGATAACAATACCTAGCTCTTGACAGAAATGATAATCACTTTTCCTGTGATCTCTGTTTTTATTACTTTTTCCCTGTGGGCTAGCTACATCTCTTCAGAGATGCTTTCCAGAGATTCTCATGGGTCTCTTGAAGTAAGACTTTATTTTTATTTTCTATAAAGCCTGTCTAGTGTTATATAAAGAGATACATGGCTTAGGCTTGGGATGAAAATCTGAGAGAGTTTCTGTACCATTAAGTGTTTTTCTGGTTAAATATTAGAAAATCAAATACCAAACTGTCCCAGGAAAAGGGAAGCGCACTGTACTGAGAAGTATAGGTTTTCCCTTCCTGTGGTATCATCTTGGGCCTTGAAATGGTAGAACTGGTAGTGTCTGATTCATATTTTTTATCATTCAGCTTGAAATCACTAAGAGAGTCATCCTTACAGTGTTTCCCTTTGTGTTGCTGTTTCCAATAAACACACTGTCACTCAAAGATTTTAAATGTAGTTGAGGGAATATAATGCTCTAATTGGATGTCTGCTCAGTCCACTCCAAACTCTGCTCAAATGTGACCTTGGTTACACATTCCCTGACTGTTCCATTTAAAATAGGACAAAATTTTCCATAATATGTAAGACTATCTAGATTTATTGTGTAAATTATTAGGTCCTTTATTTTCTTCTACAGAGTGGTATTTTCATGAAAATATGATTTAATTGCTTCTTTTTAATGGGTGTGTTTCAAGCTCATAAAAGAGAATAAGCATTCAATGAATATCTATTATCCAATAAATTAATGAACTGAAATAGACCTTGGACCAAATGTTTCTATCCCTTAATCTTTTGTGGCCTGTAAAGGGAGAGGAGGGTGATTTCCCCTAGAGACTCATAAAGGAAGAAAGAAGGAATCTTGAGTAACAGAAGTCTTTGAATCTGAACAGAGATACTTTCTGAAAGCTTTTTTGGCTGAACTGAGGCTTCTTTCTCTAAATTTCGGATTCTTATCTGTTTTCTAAATGAATTGGACTCAAGGTACCAAGAGTAATGAACAAAATGATATTTATAAGGTCCTACCACATGTTTAACTTGTGGAACATTAAATTTTCTATATAATTACAATGTTCATGATTAGTTGATAATTAGAATAAGGACTTGGGTGTGGTGGCACACACATGCAATTGTAGCTACTCAGGACGCTGAGGGAGAAAGATCACAAATGGGAGGTCAATCTGGGATACAAAGGGAATTCAAGGCCAACTTGTACATTGTAGCAAAACCTTGGCTCAAAATACAAATGAAAAAGGGCTGGAAACATACCTCATCAGTAGAGTGCTTGTGCAGTATGTGCAAAGGTTCAAGTTCAGTCCTCAGCACTGTAAATAAATGAATAAATAAATAAAGTAATAAAGTAATTATAATAAGACTATCATCAATGTTTACATCATCATTATTATTTCACTTTGAGTTGCTCCTTTTCACTAACCTGTTTTAATGCTGCATTTCTTTAAAAAGTTTACCTTGGGGCTGGAAAGATTGCTCACTCAGTAAAGAGCATTTGCTGCTCTTCTGGAGGCCCACTATTCAGTTCCCAACACCCCTGTCAGGCAACTCACAGCTTCCTGTAACTCCAGCTCCAAGATATCTGATCCTATCTTGTGGCCTCTGTGAACACCAACGTGCGCATGCTTATACACACATAAACATACACATACACACACTTAAAAAATAAATCTTTCATAAAAATCTTGTTTTTAAATATAAATTATGTAAAGTCATCACCATAAAAACTTGATGATTATAATTATTTTGGGAAAAGAAAAAACAATCAAAACCTAGGTGTTTATGACTAAAAATATCATTATATCTGCATATCTCTAGAAGAAAAGTCAGATAATATAGATAGATTAATTTAACCAAATGTTGTAAAATAGCACATACAATTTGTTTTTAGAAACAGGGCTTCTCTGTAGCCTGGAGCTCACTATGTAGACCAGGCTGGCCTCAATCTCAGAGATCTGCCTGTCTCTGCCTCCTAAATGCTGAGATTAAAGGCATGCACCTTGCCAGACATCCATATGCCATTTTACTTTAAATACTAAATGTTCAGAGCTGGAGAGATGGTTCATCATGTGGAACACTGATTACTCTTGCAAAGGACTGAGGTTCAATTCCCAGCATCCACAGGGCAGCTAACAGCCATCTGTAACTTCAAATCCAGGAGATCTGACATCCTCTTTTGACTTCCTCAGGCACTGCACAACATGAGTGCACTTACATGCATGCAGGTAATACATTCATACACATAAAATAAAAATAATAAATTAAATTTTTTTAAATATCAAAAGCTACTTATATTTAATGTAAGAATAAATTACTTTAAATGAAAGAATCGTTGAAAATGAGATTTCACTGCCAGAACTATTAGTTAAAAATTATCCATTTAAAAATTAATATTTATTAAATATTAACTGTGAAATCAGTGAAAATATTTCAGTTAAAAGTTCTTGTTTATAGCCAGGCATGGTGGCACACACCTTTAATCCCAGCACTAGGGAGGCTCTCTGTGTGTTCCAGGCCA